TCTCATTTTTTCAATATTTTAATTAAGAAGATTAAAAATATTTTTCAGACTTTTAACTTATTTACAGTGAGAAGGTTGATCCAAATATTTAGCTTGCCTATTACCAAAAGGACATACAGTATTTTGTTTTCTAAAATGTGATCAAACTATACTTAGTTCCCTGCACCTTGCATTTTGCTCTTAGCAGTAAGTTGTGTCAAGCCTTCTACTGCAGTTCGTGTAGAGCAATGAATTGGATTTTTAACGATCTGTAGGAATTGGTCAAGTGAAGAATGGTAGTGGGGTGAGGGTGGTCTTGGGCATGAAAGAGCATGGCCAGCCCTGAAATTGTAAGTAGTTAAGCGTGATTAGAGCATAAAATGTTCAGAGGATCATGGGAGGAAGATAAGGTAAATAGGTCAACAGGATTCAGATGAAAAAGTCCAAGCAGTTTCTCTCACTAGCTCACCTCCAGGGCAGCATTATGTACATGGTAATCTAAGTAAATGGTGCTTCCTGACATTCGGTAATGCAAAGCCTAGAAGATTGCCTTTTACCCACTAGTTAAGAAGAGAGCAAGGGAAGAGGTAGGTGGTGAATAAGACACCTGTCACTGCAGCAGATATCCCAGAGTTCCTGTGAAGATAATGCAAAACACTCCTCCTGGGCTTCCCCCATGGTCATAAGTTCTCCAGGCTCACATAAATTCATGATCCTGGAGGTGAGTACCTTCTAGGTTTCGCCTCAGGCTCTACCGTGCCTGGATCAATAATGCTAGGTTAGTGGTGCCCTTCCTTATCTAGAAGATAAGGGAAAAGGAGGTGATCTCCTGAGGGGCCAAATGGTCCTGTGTGATTCAACACCTTACCCCCAGGAATGCTGAAATGCTTGAGAAGCTGATAACCGTAGGGAAATTCCCTCTTGAGGCCCAGCCCCCTTCCAATCGGGTTGATAGCCCTACTCTGCCTTGACTCCTGGCTGGACAGCCTTCTCCAGCACATCAAGAGCATTGTCCTCAGCCACTTGAGTGACTGCAACTTAGAGAAGCAGTTTTTGAAGGTCAGTAAAAGTAGGTGAGCAGGGCGTGGAGTTACTCAAAGCCTTTTGTGAAACAAATTTCAGCTTTTGCTAGCACCAGAAAAACATCCCAGAAGCACCAGGATAACCTGCAGCCCAGATGATGCAGAGAACTAGAACTTGCAGAATGCCCTCCACGGGTAATGCCAGGTAGACTGGTTTTCCATGTCAGAGGGTCAGCTTGGAGATCTGATTTTCTCAGCGACCCACAGCTTTTAGGGAGTTTTCCAGGGAAGGTAGATAGTATCCTTGTCTGTATTTTTTTGTTAAGTCCAAGGACACTTTAACTCCTACCCTCTCTCCCCTCAACAGGTTAAGGAGGGCCCAAGCCTTGCATTCATGGCCTTCGTTGAAACCATGTCATTCATTCCTGGGTCTGTCTGCTGGTCTATCCTCTTCCTGTTTTTGCTGACATTGGGGCTGAGCACAATGGTAGGGATCATGCAGGGCGTCCTAACCCCACTCCAGGACACCTTTTCTTCTTTCAGGAAATACACAAAACAGCCTACCGGTACTCTGACCAATGCCCTACTCCTACCAATGGCCCTGATTTATCTGAGACTCTTACCCAGCTCAGGTCTATAACCTATGCTTAGCCCTTGTCACCCAACTAGACTTCTGACTTTGATCCCATCCAGTGTTCCCTCCAGTGGTTGTCTTTGGGCTCATGTTCCTGTGTGGCTTCTTCTTCACTCGACCTTCAGGCATCTACTTCATCAGCCTGCTGAATGAATACTGAACAGTCCTCCCCATCATCATCATCATCATCATCATCATATTTTTTTTTAAATTTTTTTTTTCAACGTTTATTTATTTTTGGGACAGAGAGAGACAGAGCATGAACGGGGGAGGGGCAGAGAGAGAGGGAGACACAGAATCGGAAACAGGCTCCAGGCTCTGAGCCATCAGCCCAGGGCCTGACGCGGGGCTCGAACTCCCGGACCGCGAGATCGTGACCTGGCCGAAGTCGGACGCTTAACCGACTGCGCCACCCAGGCGCCCCCATCATCATCATATTTGAAAACATGGCTGTGGGCTGGGCCTGTGGAGCCAGGAGGTGATAGCTTGGGTCTATAGGGAAGGTTGACCCCTTTCTGGTTGCTTCTGTTGTCACCCAGCTAGAGTGATGCAGGGACTCTTAACCTCAGGGCCTTCGGAGAAACATGTTTATTCATTCATTTAACATATTTCTTGAGTGCTTAATATGTGCCAAGCACTGTTTTAATCACCAAGGTTATTGAATAAAACAAGCATCCCTGTCCTCAAGGAATTTATATTCTAGTGCTGGTGATAGGCAGTAACCAGATGAACGAATAAAAATCAGGGGCGCCTGGGTGGCGCAGTCGGTTAAGCGTCCGACTTCAGCCAGGTCACGATCTCGTGGTCCGGGAGTTCGAGCCCCGCGTCAGGCTCTGGGCTGATGGCTCAGAGCCTGGAGCCTGTTTCCGATTCTGTGTCTCCCTCTCTCTCTGCCCCTCCCCTGTTCATGCTCTGTCTCTCTCTGTCCCAAAAATAAATAAACGTTGAAAAAAAAAAATTTTTTTTAAATGTCAGGTGGTGACAATTGACAGGAGAAAATCAAAAGGTAAAGTAAAATGATCAAGAATGGGAGTATGTGTGGGTGCTAATTTAGGTTGGATTGCAGGGAAGGCCTCTCTGATAAGGTGACATTTGAGCAGACTCCTGAAGGAAGTGAAGGAAGGAGCCATGATTTTGAGGAAGTGTTCCAAGTAGAGGAAACACTGAGTACCAAGGCAAGAGGAAGCATCATGCCTGGAATTTTTGAGGAGCAAGGAGATCGGAGAGGTTGGAGTAGAATGTTCCAGAGAGATAACAGGAGATCAAGGAAGACCTTCTAAGCTATAGCAGTACTTAGTTTTTTTTCTGCAGCACGAGAGGAGGCATTGGAAGGTTTTGAGCAGGGGAGTGACATCGTCAGATTTATTTAAAAAAATACCCATGACTGCTGTGTGAATAGACTATGAGGAGTCAGGAGTGAAGCAAGGAGAACAGTTGGGTGCTATTGCAATATTCCAAAGAAAAGACAAAGAGAAGGGCCTTCGTGGCCAAAAGACCCCACTTGGATATTTATTGCAATTGAGAACATGCAATAAAGGAGTTGGATACATGGGCTTGAAGAAACTAAGAAAAGTTCCCCCCGAGGGTCAAGTGTTGCTGCCTTTTCCAGTCTGAGCTGGTTAGTATGGATACCCAGCATGTAGAAGAGTCCCTCACACATCATAAACATTTTCATATTCATGGAATGAATGAAAGGGACTTGGCCTTTATCCCAAGGGCATTAGGTACCCATGAACAATTTTGAGCAGTAGAGAAATGTTTGAAAATTTTTCTTGGGTCGCGATGCAAGACTGACTAGGGAGAAGATAAGAGAGGATGAGTCTTGAGCTGAGGCAGAGTTTGGGAGATGAAGTAGAATACTTGAAAGATGCTAAGGTTGGGCTGCCCTCCACCCCCAAGGCTGGGTGAGGCCTGACTAGGCCTCCCACAGTCTTGTGGCCCTTCCTCCCAGGTTCCTTGAAGACTTTGCGATCATGTGGGGACCCCTCATCTCTCTCATCCATTGGCTGTGGTGCTTTCCCTGTCCCGTTGTGCTGCTAGCCCTGTTTGTGATTACTCTGATTCATCTGTCTCTGAAGACTATCACCTATGTGGCCTGGGACTCAGTGTGAGCTTCTTTCCCTAGACACTAGACCTTGCTAGAGAGTGGGGGCCAGATCTTTCAATCCACTCATGGCCTAAAGATGCTATCGTCTCATTCTCTGACTCCCTGAAGACTGGTCATCTGCCCTGGTTCCTATCCCACCCTTCCCTTCTACAGTCCTCACTTTTCTGGGAACTTTGATGTTCTGAACCCCTTTCCCATCTTTCCACAGTCAAAAGAGGTGCTTCACCAATACCCATCATTGGGGCTTCTTGCAACGATTGCCCTTTTTCTCACTGTTATCCTCCCCATCCACACATATTTTGCATACTGCCTCACCCACAGGATTCCCTTCAATCCCACAAGCCAGGGTAAGCCTATGGTATCTTCCAAATCCTTACCCTTCATCCAGCCAATGCCCGTTAAAGAGGTCCAAAAGTAGGAAATCCTGTGAGGTGATAATCAAGTTGCTGATCAACCTGTTGTATGTATGTATGAACTTCATTCATTTGACTTGACATCACACATTCCTGGAAATAGCATAAGAGGCAGCTCATACCAACTTGCAACTGTTGATGTCCCCAGACACAGAACTGCTATTATTCCCAAAAGTAGAGGCATAATTTGGTGGACACATGGGGCCTGACTTTGCATCCCCCCTCTCAGACCCCATCCTTCCTGGTTACCACTGTCACTGTGTTTTCCCCATCCCCTTCCTCAGTATATACACACGCCCATGATATTCACTATTTGTCATGTCTACCAAATCTGCTTCTTGACTGATCTGTCCAGCTCCTGGAAGGAAACTGGAGGAGTAATGTTGTTGGTCAATAAATCAGTCCACCAGGACTAAGTCCTGGGTGTCAGCGATTTTTTTTTTCTATAAATGTCTTTTTCCCAAAAGTCTTCCATTCTTTTGAGAGCCAAATGTCCAGCCTAGAGTTCCTGCCCTATCCTTGTCATGGCAAATTCAGATCTAGGGATTGGCCTTTAGCCAAGGGAAACATGGGAAATGGGGTTTCAGCTAAGATGGAAAGGATATTAATCACTTGCCAATGGGACATGGTAATCATATATGAGTCTAAAAATTTTATTTTTATTTTTTTAAGTTTATTATTTTGAGAGAGAGACAGAGTGGGGGAGGGACACAGAGAGAGAGAGGGATAGAGAAGATCTCAAGCACTCTCTGCACTGTCAGCACAGAGCCTGATGCAGGACTTGAACTCATGAGCTACCAGATCATGACCTGAGCGGAAACCAAGAGCTGGACACTTAACCGACTGAGCCACCCATGCACCCCTAAAAATTATTTTTAAAAAGGCTCCAAGACTGTGAATCAACACAAGTGGTTTAGGGAACTACCTACTGCTGAGCCCACTAGGGCCCCATATCTACGTGGTAGGAGACCTGGCAGGTTTTACTACAGGGCTAAGTCAAATGAATTTGCCTAGTGGGTGATGACGAGCGGGTCTCTCAGAACTTCCGGAGGGGTGAGTCCACAACTGAGCTGACGTACTTACCAAAAGGAGATAGGGGTCAGTCAGCGACTGGGATTGGGAGCTGTGGGTAGAGGTGGTTGGGATTCCTGAAGATCCAGGGAATGGGTTTCCCTTAAGTACTCAGAGATCTCAGTATTTCGGATTGCTCAGCTACCACAGGGTAGTTGCCTCTACGTAACTTTCCGTGATTAAGGAAGAAAAAGCAGACATCCCAACCATTGGCGGGTGGGACTCGAGGGGTGGGCCTGGTAAACAGGAAGAGGTGTGGTCCCGGAAGTCTCTGGACCTCCGGTGTTTCTCGCTGGTCAAGCTTGGAAGATCGGGGTCATCACCCGTTGGCTCCTGTACCTTGTAGCCCCGCCCCTCACTTTCCTTCGCCACACCCCCCACCCCCATCCAAACGATCTGTCTGCTGGAAGCTTGGTGCTATTGAGTTGGGTAAGGCGAAAATCAGCGGAGGCAGTCGTCTTCTCATGATCAAATAGTCTTGAGTTTTAAACCGCCTTCCTTTTGGGAACGCAGGTGTTCATCCTCCCTTCTGCCTCCCCATCCAGTTCTCAGCTTTGGGAATGGAACCTGCGTGGGGGAGGGGATTGAAAAGTAGGGGCCTACCGGATAAACGGATAGGGGTGGAATGAGGATCTTGGGGTGTCTCCTCCCATTTTCAATTTTTATATTCTCCAGCTACTTGTTGAATGTCCTTTGGTACCTAACTGCAAGGTGGTTTGCAATGCGAATATCTCACACTGCTGTAGGGGCTCCTGATTAGAGATAGACCAATTTCTATCATAGACTCCTCTCTATTAGATAGCTCTAGGGATCCTACTGTCGAAAGTCGAGTTTCGTAGCACCCTTGCGTGTGATGAGCAGTTTCTTCAGCACTGCTCTTGGGAATCTCCGGCCTCATTAGACAAAAATGGAGCCCCGTCCCTTGGTACAGTACCTTATATGAGAATGGTATGAGACACAGCTATTGTCATCCTTAATTTTCATCAGGAGACCCAGAAGAAAGAGGGGTTTACACGGTGAGTCAGGGTAGCCTGATACAGATTCTTGCTGTGGCTTCTGGTCCTTCTATTTCGGAAATGTTCAAACATATGTAAAAGAATAACTTAATGAATTCCTTTGTACTCATCACCCATCTTGTGACCAACTGGCGACCAGTCTGGTTTCAACTTACCTCCTCCCACTGAAAGCCTCCCCATTATTTTGAAGCAGATCCCAAATTTATCATTTCATCTGTAGGTATGTCCATAAATATCTGTAAAACATAAGAACCCTTTAAAAACAAAACCTGACAAGGGGCATCTGTCAGTTGAGCGTCTTACTTCAGCTCAGGTCCTGATCTCCTGGTTTGTGAGTTCGAGCCCCATATAGGGCTTTCTGCTGTCTGTGGGGGGCTCGCTTCCGAACCTCTCTCCCCCCTCTCTGCCCTTCCCCTGCTTACTCTCTCTCAAAAATAAAAAATAAACATTTAAAAAATCCCCACAAACACCTGACAAAACTATTATCACACATAAAATAAATAACAGTACTTTTTAATACCATCAAATATCCAGTCAGTAGTTAGATTTTCCTGGTTGTCTCATATATATATGTATATGTATATATATACATATACATGTATATACATATATATACATATGCATATACACATATATACATATATGCATATATATGCATATATATATATATACACATATATACATATATATTTTTTTTTTCTGGTAGCTTTATCCTTTTTAACAGCTTTCTTCTTAACCTTTTTTTTTTTTTTTTTTTTTTTTTTTTACGTAATTCTACATCCAAGGTGGGGCTCAGCTTATGACCGGGAGATGAAGAGTCACATACTCTACTGACTGAGCCAGCCAGGTGCCCCTTAACAGCTTTGTTCAGATGTAATTCACCTACCATACAATGCACACCATACAATTCACACATTTATTTATTTATTTATTTATTTATTTATTTTTTAATTTTTCAACGTTTTTTTATTTATTTTTGGGACAGAGAGAGACAGAGCATGAACGGGCGAGGGGCAGAGAGAGAGGGAGACACAGAATCGGAAACAGGCTCCAGGCTCCGAGCCATCAGCCCAGAGCCTGACGCGGGGCTCGAACTCACGGACCGCGAGATTATGACCCGGCTGAAGCCGGACGCTTAACCGACTGCGCCACCCAGGCGCCCCACAATTCACACATTTAAAATGTACAATTCAGTGGCTTGTAAAGTATGGCAGGGTTGTGTACCCATCACCACAGTCTATTTTAGTACATTTCATTACCCCCAAAAGAAACCCCCCTCCCTTTTGCTGTCACCCCAAATGCTTCAGCCTCCAACCTCAACCTTAGACAACCACTAATCTACTTTTGTTTCAACAGAGTTGCTTATTCTGGACATTTCATATAAATGAGATCATACAATACATGTAGTCCTTTGTGACTGGCCTGCACAGAGCATAATATTCAAGTTTCATCCCTGTATAGCATATTATCAGTATTTTATTTCTTTTTATCACCGAATATTCCATTGTATTGATATACTACATTTTATTTATCCAGTTGATGGACATTTGAGGTTGTTTCCACTTTGGGGCTATTATGAATAATGCTGTGATGAATATTCATGTACAATTTTGGGGGTGGGGGGACATATGTTTTTCTTTCTCTTGGCAGATACTTAGGAGTGGAATTGCTCGATCGTGTCCCAACTCTGTTTCACTATTTGAGAGACTGTCTCAGAACTTTTTTAGATTGTTTGAATCATCATCCAAGTAAAATTCGTATGTTGTAATTTGTTGCTGTATCCATGAAGAATCTTTTGGGGTACTTGGTGGCTCAGTTGGTTAAGAATCAGACTCTTGATTTTGGCTCAGGTCATGATCTCACAGTTCGTGGGACTGAGCCCCATGTCAGGTGGCACGCTGACAGTACAGAGCCTGTTTGGGGTTCTCTCCTACTCTCTCTCTGCCCCTCCCTGCTCAATAAATAAACTTAAAAAAAATTTTTTTTAAATCTTTGTTTATTTTTGAGAGAGAGACAGCGTGTGAACAGGGGAGGAGCAGAGAGAGAGGGAGACACAGAATCTGAAACAGGCTCCAGGCTCTGAGCTGTCAGCACAGAGCCTGATGCAGGGCTCAAACTCACGAACTGAGATCATGACCTGAGCCGAAGTCGGACACTCAACCGACTGAGCCACCCAGGTGCCCCTAAATAAACTTTTTTTTTTTTTAAAGAATCTTTTGAGAGAGGGAGGCAAACCAGAAGAGACTCTTTTTTTTTTAATTTTAATAAAATAGTTTTATTTAACCCAAGATTGCCAAAACATCATTTGAACATGTGACCAATATAAAAATTGAGACATTTTATATTTTACTAAGTCTTCAAAATCCAGTGTGTATTTAAAACTAATAAGCACATCTCAATTTGAACACTAAATTTTTACCAGAAAATATTTGATCTGTATTTAAATTTCCTAAAATCCACATGTGAAAAAGTAGATTCACATATCCAGGTTGTTCTAAACATACTTAAAAAGTTCTCTAGTAACTGAATCAAGTAGAAGTTTTTAAATTATATTTAAATTAGTTAAAAAGTCACTTTCTTAGTCACACCAGCTACATTTCAAGTGCTTGTGAGCTACATGTGACTAGTGACTGTTAAGTCTATACTGTTAAGTAATATACCTTCTTGTATATTACTATCTACTTTTTATTTCTATTTAGCTTTTTATCACTTAAAACAAATCTGAACCTTTTAAACTTTATCTATTTTGTTGGTTATGTATATATTCCAGTGGTTAATCTGATTTTGTGCCAAAGAGACTCTTAAATACAGAGAAAAAACTGAGGGTGTTTGGGAGTGTGGGGGAGAGGGGAAAATGGTTACGGGCATTGAGGAGGACACTTGTTGGAATGAGCATTGGGTGTTGTATGTAAGCCAATTTGACAATAAATTATATTCATAAAAAAAGACTCTTTTAATCTATAGATCTCCTGCCCTCTTTTCCCCCTCTCTGCAATATATTTAGTGATGAAACTGGGTTATTTGTCCTGTAGTTTCTAACCATCTGGAATTTGCTGCTTCCCTCCCTGTGGTGTCATTTAATATGTTCTCTGTTCCCTGGCTTTCTTATGAATTGGTAGTTAGGGCAAGAGGTTGATTCGTTTTAGGGTCAGTATTCTGTCAGGAATACTTCATGAATGGTTTCATATGCTTCTGTCAGGAGGCAAAAACTCTCTGGATGTTCTCTCTTTTTGTCATGTGAGCAGCCATGAATAGTCATTGTCTAGATACACATATTCATTAGAGATTATGAAATGGTGGTATTCCAGCTTTATCATTCCTTTTTTTTTTTTTTTTTTAGCTGGAATACTTCTAGAAAGAGAAACTTCCCTTTACCAAACATTTGTTGCCCTGGCATACAGTTTGTATGAGGAAAGCAGAATAAACTTTGATTCTTTCCTCTCATTTGCCAGCTTAAAAAATGAATTTATTGCCTAATACTCTGCAAAAATGGTCATTGAGTTTTTTCTTTTTAGCATCTCTCTGGACTCATAGATTTACATATATTTGATGTATTTCCATCCATTGCAGCTATTCTTTTTTAATTTTTAAATGTTTTTTTAATGTTTTATTTATTTTTAACAGAGAGAGAGAGAGAGAGAGAGCAAGCATGAGTGGGGGAGGGGCAGAGAAAGAGGGAGACAACAGAATCCGAAGCAGGCTTCAGGGTCTGAGCTGTCAGCACAGAACCCGATGCGGGGCTCAAACTCACAGACTGTGAGATCATGACCTGAGCCAAAGTTGGACGCTCAACCGACTGAGCTACCCAGGCGCCCCTATTCTTTTTTAATTTTTAAATTTTTTTAAAATTTATTTTTGAGAGAGAGAGAGAGAGAGACAGAGCATGAGCATGAGCAGGGGAGGGGCAGAGAGAAAGAGGGAGACACAGAAGCCAAAGCAGGCTCCAGGCTCTGAGCTGTCAGTACAGAACTCAACGTGGGGCTCAAATCCGTGAACCATGAGATCATGACCTGAGCTGAAGTCGGCAACTTAACCGACTGAGCCACCCAGGCGCCCTTGCAACTATTCTTATTGATGCTCAAATCATCTCATTTTTGGCACATGGAAGCATCTTCAGTTTGACTCCTGCGTCCTTTTGACAAGACCACAGAAGTATATAATAATTTCTTTGATTTCTGGTATGACCTTCTGGTCTAGGATTAATTTGTACATTTCATACCCAGCTCTGAAATCTGCTATTTTTCTAAGGATACTTAGTTCCTTTTGATGGGAAGTGGTATTTAGAGATCACAATTTTGTGCTAGGGGTGTTCGTTGCTACTGCATTGCTCATTGTTTCTAGGTCTTTTCAATAGATAGAGCTAGGAAGTAGTCTTCTAAGGTTAAATACATCATAAATTCATACTTATTTTTT